TTCCTTTCTGGCCCGAGGGCCCGCCGGGTTTTGCTGGTTCTCACCTGGAAGACACCTGGAAGACGCCTCCTTTTGCTGTTATCCGAGGTGACCTTGCCCAGTGACGCCTCCTTCCTCCCTCTCTGGCCGGGTTTTGCTGGGTCTGACCTGGAAGACGCCTCCTTTTGCTGTTATCCGAGGTGACCTTGCCTAGTGATGCCCTTTTCCCTAGCATTTTAAATATCCTTGGCAGCTGTTTTGTCCAACGCAATGCAACTTTTCTTTTTTCAATACTGAAATGTTTTTTCCATTTTTGCACATTTTCTTCCATCCCTTCCACAACCCTCCCCGCAATGCACCCCGTTTCAGACTGTTGTCATACATATAATGCCTAATTACATATTCCTTTCAGACAGTGCTTTCCCTCATCTGATCTAAAGCTGTGTTCATTATCTAGACACTCTTTTCTCATTCTCACCCAAACCCCCTTGTCTGTTCTATAACAGCAGAGCAGTGTCCTTTTGTGATTGAGGTATTTCACTCAGCATAATGTCCTCCAGGGTCACCCATTTTGTATTTTATTTCATGAGTTCCTTGTTTTTCAATGCAGCATAGTATTCCATTGCGTGAATATACCACAGCTTCTCTATCCATTCATTTGTTGATGGGCACTCTTTCCAACTTTTTGCTACTGTGAACAAAGCCACAATAAACATGGGCATGCATACTGCATGGGCGGCAATTCTGGTCTCTTTAGGGTATATTCCCAGTAGTAGAATTGCTGGTTCAAATGGTATTTCTATTTGCAACTTTTTGCGAAAGTGCCATACTGCCTTCCACAGTGGTTGCACCATTTTACACTCCCACCAACAGTGAATAAGGGTTCCAGTTTCTCCGCAACCTCACCAGCATTTGATGTTTGCTGTTCTGTTTAGTTTTGCTATTCTTACTGAGATGAGATGATATCTCATAGTTCTTTTGATCTGCATCTCTCTTAGAGCTAGGAATTTTGAACATTACATGTGTTTTGTTGGCTATCTGAATGTCTTTTTGAGAAAGCTGACTTGCCTTCCATAGTGGCTGTACAATTTTAAATTCTCACCAGCAATGAATAAGCGTTCCAATCTCTCCACAACCTTGACAGAATGTGCTGTTTGCTGGTCTGTTGAACTTTGCTATTGTCACTGGGGAAAATTAATTTTTTTTAAAAAAAAAACAAAGCACCTATCACTTTAATTACAAGGCACATGAGTATGCATGTGAAATTCTGCCTTTAGCTCCTAAACAAAGGAAAACTTTGCTCAAAAGCAATTTACAGCAGAGGGCTTTACCTTATAAAAAGCACTGAAAATAAGAGTAAATAAAACACCATAGTAAGAAAACAGCCAAACTAATGTAAAACTGTTAATTAAATGTTATGAGTCCAACAGCCCTATCCAAATTTGGTTCCAAGAATGTAAGCTATTTGGCTTATTATATTTACAGAACTTTTTCCAATAAAAAATGACTAACACCAAGGGAGTTCTAGTGGCTGAGTGGTAAGGAACTGCACTGCTAACATAAAAGTATGTGGTTGGAGTTCACCAGCTGCTCTTCAGGGGAAAGGTGGGAAACTTCCTCCCATGTGATTTACTGCCTCTGAAAATCCGCTGATGGGTCAGCTCTGTATTGGTTTCAACTCTATGGTACACACAAAAAACAAGGAGGAAATTTTTTTAGACAGTCTCCAACTTCAAGGACGTTCTAGTGGCTTTGTCCATAGTATGCTGCATGGCTAAGCATCTTCAGTGGTTTGAATCCAGCAGTCTCTTTCAAAGACAAAATCAGCAGTTTCCTTCCATTATAATGCATAGCCTTGGAAATCCAATGGAGGGTCACTAGGGTCAGGCGTGATTCAACAGCAGAGTCCAAGCTACTGAGTTCTCAGTGTTTGAAGTCATAAAAAATGCTGGATAACTGACTGATCATTCTTTAACTTTCCAATCAGTACTAATACATAGGCAAAATACCAAAGCCTTCACAGGGAATAGAGTAAAACTGTCCTCAGGGGGTAATACACAGAACAGCATGTTTAATATAACGTATGCAAGAAAATGCAAAGAATCCAGTCAACGTGTCCTTCACAGAACATGTAAATACTCAAGGAAATACTAATCCATTGTGCAACTAATTATTTCTAACCCATTTTTGATGGAAATGCATGTGGTGGTTCCTAAAAAAACTGTAATTAGACTTACCATATAGCCCAGCACTCCATACCTAGGCATATACTCAGAAGATTTGAAAATAGGTATTTAAATAGAAACTTATACATCAATGTTCACAGCAGCAATAACAAATTGGGAGTAATAACTTTTGTTGTTATGTGCCACTGAGTCACATATGACTAATCAATGACACAGCAGCAAGTTTCCAGAGAAAATAAACTACACGGGATGAGACTGCCCATCTTTCTCCCACAGACCAACTGGTAAATTCAAACCGTACATCTCTGGGTTCACAGTGCAGCCCCTTAACACAGGCCACCTACACAGACAAATGAATAAACAAAATATGGTACATTCATAAAATGCACTCAGCCAGTAAGAATAAATGAAGTTTTTATAAAAGCTATCATATGGATTGGGAAAGTCTGCTGTCAGGGAGTGATCCAAAGTGTTGAAGAGCAAAGATGTTAGTTTGAAGACTAAGGTACACCTGATGCAAGCTATATGCTCTCTTTAATCACTTGCTATGCACCTGAAAGTTGCACAATAAATAAGGATGATAGAAGAAGAATCAGTATCTTTGAGCTGCGATGTTGAGGAAAAATACTAAATATCCCAAGAACTGCCAAAAGGATAAAAGTGTATGTCTTAGAAAAGGTACCACCAGGGTGCTTATTCCTATGAGGCAAGTATAGAGAAAGCTCTGTCTTACATACTCTGTGTACACTGTCAGAAAGGGCCAGTCCTGGGGAAAAAAGGCATTATGCTGGAAAGGTGGAGGGTCAGCAAAGGAGAGAAAGATGCTCAAAGAGGCCAACTGACACAATAATTGTAATGGTGGGCTCAAACGTGTCAGAGATAATGAGGATGGCACAGGACAGTGCAGGGTTCAAACCTACTGTTCATAGGGCTGTTATGAGTTGTAGTCAACAGCACTTAAGAACAACAACATGACATGATCTAGATACATTATGCTGAGTGAATTACATCAATCTCGAAAAACAAATATTCTATGACCTCACCTACAAAGAAAGACAAAGTAAATGTATAGTGAATAAAGTTTATTCATAATTACCAAGGATAGAAGGATTAATCATGATGAAATACTGCAGTGATTAAGGTAAGGGTACACAACCAATTCTTATAATTACTGTCAATTAATTATCTGTACACTTGGGAAAAAATTGAACTGCCAAAAGCTTTGTGATAAGTGCATTTACAACAAAAAAAAAGAAAAAACAGCTGCTAATGTTAATTACGTATAGCCAAAAACTTTCTGGGATTTAGTTAGGATGAGTAAGTCCTGGTTTCATGGAATATCCCAGTAATTTGGCTCAATATCATATTTAATACTTCTGTTCTACTTTCTAGTCCAATGTGCAGTGGTTGGGGTCTTAAAAGCTTACAAGCAGCTATCCAAGTCTCTATTATTCAGGAACAACAAGAGCAAATAAAGAAAGAAAAATAATGAAGTGTGTGGCAACATTAGATATTAAGTACAAATTATTTCATACCTTCTTGTACACAGCCATAGCATCAGAATCCAAAACGACGATATTTCTTAACTTTGCATTTATTTCAGTTCCTATAGGTTTCATAATAATTTCAGAATCAAGACCTGTAGAAAAAAAAAGATGATTAGATGCATTTTCTTTAAGATTTTATTTTTCCTTTTTTTTTTCCTCTTGCTGTATACTGTCGAATTGGATCAGTCTGAACACAGGAGAATATTGTCCCTTCTTCTCAAGCAGAGCATCTGGTAGATTCTTACCGCATACCTTCAGGATTGCAGCACAGCTTCTTGCCACTAGAACACCAGAGCTCCCTTCTTATTTTTTAAAATTTTTTATACTGGTTTATTTACAAAGTTCGCATACATTGTTTTTCACACCAGATCTTTCCCATTTACTTCACCCACCCCTCCTCCCACCCATCAAATTACACTACTCTATGATTCACCACCGGTACACCATCCACCCCACCTCTCACCCACATCCTGACCTCTTTCTTTGCTCCCACCCTCCCCTGCCTTGGATCCTCATAATCATTCTCCAATAATGGTTATATATAATATTTGTCCTTACAGGACTGAGTTAGTTCACTTAGCACAATGTTCTCCAATCCTTCCCCCAAGTTAGGTAGTAATTTATAAAATCATTACTTCTGCATGCTGCATAGTATTCCATTATGTAAATATGAGGACGTGGCAAGATGGGGACTCTTACATTGTTGGTGGGACTATAAAATGGCACAACCACTCGGGAAAGCAGTTTGGCATTTCCTCAAAAAGCTAAACATAGAAATTCCACATGACCCAGCTATTCCACTGTTCTAATTGTTAACAACCACAATATCTTCTCCATCTAGCATGGTGCTGCCAATTGGCCCAGTGGTAAAAATCTTTTGTCTTCTTGATGATGAGCTTCAGTCCATATTGAAGACTACAGTCCTTGACATTCAGCAGCAAGTTATTAAGGTCTTCTTCAATTTCAGCAAGGAAGGCTGTGTCATCTGCATAACACATGTTGTTGATGAGTCTTCCTTCAATCCTGATGCCACATTCCTCCTCATAAATCCCCTGCTTCCTGAATGATCTGTTCCACATATAAACTAAAAACGTATGGAGAAAGGATGCATCCCTGACGCACTCCTTTCCTAATTTCAAACCATGTAGTGTTTCCCTATTCTATTCTGAGGACTACTTCCTGGTCCAAGCATAGGTTTTGCATAAGAACCATCAAGTGTTCTGGTCTTCCCATTTCCTCAAAGTTAGCCACAATTTGTTGTGATCTGCGGTCAAATGCCTTTACACAGTCAATGAAACAAAGAAAGACATTCCTCTGGTACTCTTAGGTTTCTGCCAAGATCCACTTGACTTTGGTAATTACATCTATAGTGCCATAACCTCTTCTAAATCCAGCTTGTATTTCTGGTAGTTCTTTGTCAGTGTACTATTCTAGTCGTTTCTGGATAATCTTCAGCAGGACTTTGATAGTGTGTGGTATTAGTGGTATTGTTCAATAATTTCCACACACTGTTAGCAACTAACATTCAGCCCCAATAGTTGGGAAATAAAAAGACAAATTGCACTGGGAAAATCTGCTGTCAGGGACCTATACTGAAAAGCAACAATGTCAGTCTAGAGACTAAGGTACACCTAATTTAGGCCATGGTCTTCACAAACACATCAGACAGCTGGACAATGACTAAAGAGGACAGAAGAAGAATTTATTCCTTCAAATTGTGGTGCTGGAATAGAGTACTGAACATACCATGGACTGCCAAGAAAACAAACAGGTCTGTCTTTGAGAGGGTAAAACCAAATTTCTCCTTGGAAGAAATTTTGAAGCTCCATCTCACATTCTTTGGGAACATAGCCAGGAGAGACTGATCCTTGGAGAAAGACATCATGCTCAGAAGGGTGGAGGGAAATAGCAAGAGAGGAAGACCCCAGATAAGATAGAATGATACAGTAACTGGTGCAATGGAAGTTGATATATTGGAATTAGTGAGACTGCCTCAGGATAGGTCAGGGTTCAGAGGTGCTGTACAGAGGTCACTATGGGTCGCAGCCAACTCGATGGCACATAAACAACATTCCATTGCTTGGAATATACTGAGAAAATAAAAACTGAGGTACAGAAACTTGTACACCAATGTTCATAGCAACAGTATTTACCATTTCAAGAACATGGAAACAGCCTAAATGTCCAAACACAGTTGAATGGATGGAGAAATTATGGTACATACACATGAGAATTTACTATTTTTTAATCTTCTTCTAAAATTTTATTACCTTCAATCCTAATTTCAGAAATATTTCGTTTCTGATCTTGAATAAAAATCCTTATACAGGATAATTCTGCTAAAACCTGCAAAGTAATAATATCTTCATCCTTGCATAGTTTAGAAGCTGCAAAACACAAAAATAATCATATTCCAAAACAGTAGAAAAAAGTTTGAGTGGTTACCTTACTTCATTTAAAATGTAACTGAAATAACATATAAAAAATATCACATAAAAGATAGCACACTAGGAGAAAATCTTTTTCAACTGGAAACAAATGATCTATTTCCTACCATAGGTACAGTAACAAAAAGCAACTATAAAATAAAAATAAATAAGTAAACAAAAGAAAACACTATTCTTTTTAAACTGAGTAATTATAGCTGACAGTTACATTGAAAAGTAGTATACCGTAAGGAAAAGATACACAAATTCCATACTGACTAACTCTACTTCTCAGCCAAATCTAGGTCATATACATAGGCACAAGTGTTCTTAGTATGCTGGCTTGACACAGTTGCTATTAACAGTATGTTCAACACAGCAATGATTTTAAGGATAACCTATGACCAGGTATAGAGAATGCTTCCTTGCTGTACATAAGGTTGCTATGAGTTGGAAGTAACAAATGGCATTTAACAATAGTAAGAACACTTTTCTAATAAAAATTTGAGAATAATCAAAATTTCCATGAGCAGAAAAGTAAACTGATATATTAATGTAATGCAGAAAACACTGAAGATAAAATCATAACTCTATTATGATTCAAAAACTACAAAATGTGTTTGCCATTACCAAAATTTTAACCTTTTGTTATTATATAAATAGTCAAATTTTCTACTCTAAAATATTTTAGCTACATAAATGTTAATCTAAATCAAATATTCCTACTTTATTATCCTCAACTAAAATCAATTAGATGACACATGAAGTCCCATTTTCTTCAGCAATACCTTCCTTTACCATTATTTTCCATAGTTATCCTGTTATATAAAATGACACGAGGCACTAGGATTCTAAATCCAGTATTATTGGTTAAAAATAAAGTCAAGGTCCAGGCTCACACTAAATCCAGTATTACTGGTTAAAAATAAAGTCAAGGTCCAAGCTCACTGCTGTACTTGGTAAAAATATCTCTAGGTAAATTTAGGAAAAAACCAACATACGCATTTTCTTAATGACATCTCCTTTGTCTTCATTCTCTGAAATATACAGAGAGGCAGATTTTTCCTCTGATTGTGGAAGGATATCATTAAAATATTTCATGGTATTCAGAAGTGCTTCAGTATGTAAATGAATATCCAAAGAAGAAAAATTCACCTAAAGAGCAAAGTGAATTTTAACAATAGCAGCAAGCATTTGCTTGTCCATTCTGTATAAGGCACAATGTTTCGTTATATAGAGAATAATATATATTATATTCTAGTTGCATCATCAAGGATACTACAAGTCGAATTAAAATTATCAACTTATAAATAAAAATTCAATACCTATTTAAAAAGAAAGTATTAATCATTTATACCTTGAGCAGCTGAGTAACATTGTTGTAAGAATTCTTCAAGTCTGGTACATTATTTTCTGCCTATTCAAAGAGAAAATAGGTCTATTATACTATCTTAGGTAACACACATGTATACATAGCATTAAGATGTCTTAATATATTATTATATATAAACTTATAAATTTTCCAACCATGAGTATGTGTACGTATGCATGCATATATGTATGTATTTTTTTTTCTCCTAAACAATTTCTTCACCAGAACACAAGAATTTGGTGTAAGATTCTAAGGTACATAGCAAATATTGAACAAATGTTAGACATTATCAATCTTATTATCATTAAGTGTGAAAACGATCAATCACCAACAAATCTGTAAAGTCCTTCCTAATTCCTAATTGTGACAGAACTGCAAATCAAGTATCTAAATACTGTTTAGATCCAGAAAGTATTGAAAATACAAAAACCACTTAATGCACAAAACCAAAATTAAATTGTTACCAATCCTAAATCACAGCAACACTACAAGATAAAGAAGTACTGCCCAGAGAACTGCAAAGACTGTTAATCTTATGGAACAACTCACATCTTTATCCTTTGTTGGTAAGTCTTTCAGTCAGCACTTAACTGCTATTCCACCAGGGTTATCAATCTCATTGTCATCAAGCAGGAATACTCACAGCTGATTGCCCAGTGAGCATTTGGAGGCTGTAAATCATAAAGGAGATTCCCTTCTTTCTCCAAGGGAGTTTCTGGTGGTTCCGTCCCACAAAAGAGGTACCACTTTTGAGCTAGGTATAGCTTGACAGAGTCATATGGAGATGGAGCCCTTAAAGGCAAACCTCAACACCAAGAAAGATGCAGCAGTGAAGAACGCAGCCTGCATCCTTCAAGGTTAGAGACTGCTGCACCAGAGGTATCTTGCTGTTGACTGAGCAACTATATGGACTAATTAAGGGATTTTTACCTTGTTGCTGACTGAACAGCTGTCTGAATTGAGGATTGTGCCCTGCTGTGTATCTGACTTGAGTCTTATCTACAAAACTTGGACTTACACTGTGGGATATCCTTTGCCTTCCGCCCACAACCTATTTCCCTAATAAACTCAGAGTAAAATGTTTCCCCGTTTCTCTAATAAACTCTGAGTGTAAGAATTAAAAAAAAAAAACGAGTAAAAAGAGGTTCTGTAAAGTCTTGTGTGGCCATTTGCAATGAATTTTGGATCCAGTAATTAATAGAGGTATGTGCACCAGAGTAGATGGGCATGTCGGACCTTACAGGGATTCTGTGGATGTTGCTGATGGGGATAGTTCCCTTTGTTAACATAGCAGAGGTCAGGCTCAGCCACCTCACAGTGTCAATGCTCATTTTACAAGGTATAATTCATACTGAAAATCCTTATTATTTTATTTTCTTCAGTAAGTGATTCAAGTTTTCTTCACTTTCAGCCAAAAAGGTTGTATAATCTACAAACCTATATATTCTTATTTATTGTCCTGCTTTCAGGTATATAAGAAAAAAGTGAAAATATCATGATTTGGGTCAGACACACCTTAGTCTGTAAACTGACACACTCGTTCTTTAAAGAAGTACGTGACAGCAGATTTCCCAATGCAATTTGTCATTTAATTTCTTGACTGCACTTACCATGGGAGTTGATTATGGAGCCAAGTAAAATAAATTCACTGAAAACCTCAATCTTTTCTCCATCTATTATGCTACTATGTACAGGTACAAAGTATAGAATTTTGGTTTTCTTGATGTTGAGGTGTAATCCACACTAAAGGCTGTGTCTTCAAACAGTAACATGGACTGTTAATGAGTCTTCCTCTTACTCTGATGCCACATTCTTCTTTATGTAGTCCAGCTTCTTGAATTATTTGCTCAGATTATCAACTGGCTAGTTACAGTGAAAATACAAAGCCCAAATACACATTTTTCTCGATTTTAAACCATACAGTATCCTCTTGCTCTGTTCAGACAGCTCCTGATTCATGAACAGGTTCTATGTAAGCACATTTAAATGTTCTGGGATTCCCATTCTTTGCAATGTTACCCATAATTTAGTATCATCTACAAAGTTAAATGCCTTATGATCTTGTTGTTAAGTGCCATCGAGTCATAGGCGACTTATAGCGACCCTATGAACGAAAGTCTTCGACACTTGGCGTGACTTTCATCTTTTCTCTAGGTTCATAGAGTTTCCGGAGACAAGCTATTTACAAAAGTGGATGCCACTCCTGCTTCCAAGCTTGTCCAAACACTATCCACCATGGGTAACCATTATCACATTTGACACATCAGTGTCACAGTGTTCAGCTTCGCTGCAAACACAAGTTACTTCTGTACGGCAAGTGGCCACGCCAGGGCTATACGACTTAGAATAATGTTTAAATGAAAAGCATGCCAGAGGGCCATGGATCAGAGTCACCCACCTTGGTAGCATCACTTTGGGTCCACTAGGCCAGCTGGTCTCTATGTTGTTAAGTGCTATCAAGTTGTAGGCGACTCATAGTGACCCTGGATCACTTAACATTCTGCCGAAAGCATCCTTGATTATAGCAACTTGAGGTTTGAATTTGTTCTTTAGTTCCTTGAGCTTAAGATATGCTGAGCGAGGTCGGCCCTTTTGATTTTCTGTTTCCAGCACCTTGCACATTTCATTGTAATATTTTGCTTTGTGATCCCGTGCTGCCTTTTGAAATCTTCTATTCAACTCTTTTTTTTTTAAATATTTTTTTTTATTGGGAAAAACATATTGGGGGTACAAGGAGGTGAGGGTTGGGGGCAAAAGGGTGAGGATGGGCCAGGATGCAGTTGCAGAGCTGCACAGTTTGGTCGGTGGGGGGAGCAGGTGAAGGAAATGATGAGGGTCCAGTGGGGAC